TGGGGGATTTCTCGCCCCACTTTTATACCTCTTACCCCTGCAAGGCATTATTCTGACACACTTTTTTTGTTTGGGAAAAGAGCATATTGTCGAAAGTTTACTAGACAAATCCTGAAAAACAGGGCCTCTAAACTGAAATCCCCATGATTAAGAAAAGTCACTCCAGGTTGCAGTCAAGGCATAGTTCAACCAGCCTCTATTCTGCCTTCAGGAAATCTTCCTTCTTTCAAGTCCCTGTACATTTCACTGCAAACTTGGAAACTAGTGATAATAATAGCTTGACTGGTTTATATGTGCATGTGAGGTCTAGGGCTTGTTGCAATCTAGGACAGGAAAAGCCCTCTGACTTTTAACACCACACTGTTGGATGGAAAACAATCCTTTTATTGAAGATAATTTAAAAACAATAAGGTAAAAAACACTTCAAAGAAATAGGTAAACCGAATTAGGTAGGAAGATAAGCAGGAACAAAGTAGTCCAGGATAATAGTCCAGCAAAGTCCATAAAAACAAAGGCAAAACTTCCCAAATAAAATGCAAAGAATCAGGAAACATGAACCCAAGCATGAATATAGAGTATAAAATCCAAGGATCAAAACCATGAAACAATGGCACTTAAAACATGAACTTCCTAAGCCAAACTTTCATGAACAAGAACGATATCTTGACTTTATTCCAATTGATGCTTCATCCGACTACATATCCTGTACTTGGGACTTTTATCTCCTCATTAGCTAAGTCTCTAGTATTCAGAAATTGGTTTAGTTTTAATTGAGAATTTCTTATCCTTTTCTCTCGGAGCCTGTCAGAACGCCAAAGCCACTGTTCAGCTCTCCTGTTTTGACTAATCTCCTCGCATCTATCTATTTGCTCATTAATTTCTGCAGCTGGGCCAGGTGCGGAGCTGTTTTCATGTTCCCTATCATGGGAACTCTCTGATAACAATTCAGAAAGCACACCATCATCCCGACACCCCTCAGGGACATTCTCATGGGAAACTACACTTTGAACAGGGATCTCCTGGACATTCTCTATATCAAGATCCCTGACCAAACCATTGCCATCTTGAAACTCAGACATTACTCCCCACGTCGAAACCACCCTGTTCCTGGAACACAATCACAGGCTGAGCTCCAACAGGGCTCCTACCAAGCTTACTCAAGTCTAGAGCCTTCCAGTTGGAGTCCAAACAGGTGCAAAAGATCTTTGTGTGACATCACAAAAGACCATTCAAAGAATCACAGTCTTGAGTACTGCTGTTTTCTTCCCAAGCCTTTGCAAAGTAATTTTCAACAAGAGAAGAGCATTTCATTCTGCTGTACTGTTTTTAAAGAGTTCTCATTCTATTGCCACTACTGTATTTTCATCTCCGTTTTGTATGTTTCTACCCAGACATGCTTTTATTCTAATGTTCTGCCTCTTTTGGTAGCTGTCTTGAATCCCAATCTGATAGAATATAAATAAAGAGATGGATGAAATGAGGAGACTTGACCAAGCCTACTGGGATATGCTCTGAGTTGAACCTGAGACCTATGAGGGGCAAACTTGTGCTCTGCTGTCAGACAATGGTCCCTTATTCTGTGATGTATACTTGACCTTTGTCTCTGTTTGTCTATCTGTCTCAGCTATCTGTATCTCAAGTCAATTCTGAAAGTTTTATTATTGTCCTTTAGTCTGTGTAAGATGTTTTGTGTTTTGTCTATTTATGCTGAAACGCTTAGGGATATTTAGTTGCTAAAAAAGAACTTGTAACTTGGCTTGTGCATTTCGGCTGAACTTTGATCCGTTTCTGCTGGCCGGATTCCATTAGACCTCTGTATCTGTTTTCGCGTGCCTCCCAAAAACTGGTGGGTAGTTGGGTAGCCTTTTTCAGTCCTCACCCAAAAAATACAACTAGATAGATGGGGAACTTATAAGGCTCCCCTTTCCATTCCTTTTTTCCTTTCAAGAGAGCCTGGGTGTCAGCAACAGGGTTAAGAAAGTATCATATCTGGCATCGTTTGTCCTTATATCCTTCATTAAGACCTGGATTAAAAGCATGAAAGTTAAGATACCACTCTTTCTGCGATCCTTTCCCTTATGTCTGTAGAGGAGACTGGGTTTAATGCTTCATTAAAGCTGCTTCTACTCTAGACTACAGAATGCTCTGGACTCTGACTCTAGATGGCGTGATTACATTGGAATGTATTTTAATTATATTATTATGTATTACTTTTAATTCTGGTTATTTTAAGATACCATTGTATGTTTTAAGGCACCACAGAGGTGCAGTATGTAAGCCACCTTAAGTCCCCCTTGGAATAGAGAAAGACGAGATAGAAATAACGGAAAGACTACTGCAATGCGTTCTATGTGGGGTTGCCTTTGAAGACTATCCAGAAGCTTCAAATGGTCCAACAGACTGCAGCCAGATTGCTAACAGGAGTGGCGCTCAGGGAGCGTACAACTCCTCTGTTGCGCCAGCTCCACTGACTGCCAGTTTGCTACCGGGCACAATTTAAAGTGCTGGCTTTAGCCTATAAAGCCCTAAACTGTTCTGGCCTATCTTACCTGTCCGAACACATCTTCCCTTATGAACCATCTAGGACCTTAAGATCATCTGCGGAGGCCCTGCTCTTGTTACTACCTTTTGTCATAAGTACGTTTGGCGGAGAGGAGAGACAGAGCCTTCTTGGTGGTGGCCGTCAGCTGTGGAACGCCCTCCCTATAGATATTAGATCAGCCACCTCCCTTTTAACATTCCGGAAAAAAGTCAAGACGTGGCCTTTTGAACAAGCGTTTGCAAATGCAGAGTAATTGACATAGGAAAATGGAACGACTAGACAATGAGTCCGGACAACGTTTTTAACAAGGAGACACTATGAATTTATATTTTATTGATTTGTTTAGTTTTTATTACTCCTCTGTTAATAATAATAATAATTTATAATAATATTAATTAATATTAATAATAATAATAATAATGTTATGTTTTTAATTATTATTATGTTTTTAATAATAATAATAATAATAATAATAATAATAATAATAATAATGTTATGTTTTTAATTGTATTTATGACATTGTAAGCATTGAATTTTGCCCTGTTAACCGCCTTGAGTCGCCTACGGGCTGAGAAAGGCAGTATACAAATACAGTAAATAAATAAACAAATAAACAAACAAATAAACAAATAAATAAACAAACTAGGCAGGCATTGCAGGCAAACACACACACTCTCTCTTCTTGCAGCACACATGCAGCTTTCCAAGGCATTTTAAGGAGGCCCAGGAAAAAAAGAGCGATGAGCTGGATCTATTCTCCCTGGGCTTCCTTTAAAAAGCCCTCTCTTTTCTTTACTGTAGGCCCTGCGTGGAGTGTCACGCTTCAATCTCCTTTCTGCTTTGGGTTTAATGCTTCCTGGCCCTACTTACCTCTCCAAACGCATCTCCTCCTATGAACCAACTAGGACATTAAGATCATCTGGGGAGGCTTTGCTCTCAGTCCCGCCTGCATCACAGGCACGGCTGGCGGGAACGAGAGACAGGGCCTTCTCAGTGGTGGCCCCTCGGCTGTGGAACGCCCTTCCTATAGATATCAGATCGGCCCCTCCCTATTGGCGTTTCGGAGGAAAGTGAAGACCTGGCTGTTCGAACAAGCATTCGATTAAGCAGTGTAATGAATATAGGAATACGGATTAACGGATGATGAGATTGGATTCTGATTTTACTGATGAGACGCCAGTGATTGTTATATTGATGTTTAATTGTTGATGATGCTATTGTTTTATGATGTTTTTGCATTGAATTTTGCTGTTGTTAACCGCTTTGAGTCGCCTGAGGGCTGAGAAAAGCGGTATGTAAATGAAGTAAATAAATAACAAATAAATAAATAATAAAGCTGTTTCTACTTTCTACTCTAGAGGAGAGTTAACTAGTAGTGTTCTGAGAATGAGGCTTCTCTTTTTGTTTTCTGGGATTACTACTATTAATAATAATAATAATAATAATAATAATAATAATAATAGTAATAATAATAATGTTATTACTATAAAATAATAATTAATAATAATTATTTTATTACTATTAATAAAAATTATTTAGAAATATTTCCTGAAGGAGAGGAAGGGAATGAAAAAAAGAAGCTAAAAGGGTGACTGTCCAAGTCCACGCATGCGTGTGCACATACCACCCACCCATCCCGCATGTTTCCAACTCCCAATCAGTCCCACTAATAAAAAGAATTTAAAAATCAAGGAAAATCAAGGAAAATCAAATACCAAATAGGGGAGGAGGAGCCATGGTCGGCTGCACATAGTCTCATTATGAATGAAAATCCGTGTCGGTAGGACCCTCGTCGTTATGGCCACCAGGCCAAGCTGAAGAAGCTGGATGGACCAAAGGAAATGGCTAAAAACGGATCTGGGTTCAAGCCTACTTGTAACTGCAATGTTCCAAATTAAATGCAGTCTTCCAAGAGAATTGTAGTTAAGGGCAACAGGCAACAATTGAGGTGAATCACAGAAAAAAAAAAGGCTCTTCTTAAATTTTTCAAGCGCAACAAGATTGTGGAAATCTTTGAAAGGTTAGGATGTTTTTTCGGCATGAAGGCTTTTGCTTCCTCTGTGAGGTTAAGTTTTGGTCATGACCCAAAGCAATGCATTTGCTTCATTTCCTTTGCCTTTCCCCATAAGGAGATTTAACTTTTGGAAAACCCTTTTTCGACCCATCTATAAAGCACATATTTAACTCAACACCCCTACTGTTAAGACTGTGCGTTTTGCTTTATTGAAAAAGTGAGTTTTGTTCTTTTTGAAAATGAAGGAGAATTTTACCAAAAAAAAATACATTTAACAAGAACCTCACGAGAGCATATTGTGTTTTGTCTCATTGTTGGGCTCACATTTCTTGCTCTTGTTTCTTACTGAGCTTAATTAATCCACAGAAGCAAGCATTGTTTTGATCTGCAAGCAGATTGCTTTTGCGGGCTTATAGTCATCTTGTTTGCTTTTTCGATTCGCAGATGCTGGTTGAACAGGCGTCAGATTGATGGCTCCCTGAACCGAACACCAAGTGGATTCTATGACCGAGTGTGGCAGATCTTGGAGAGGACCCCCAATGGTTTAATAGTCGCTGGGAATTATTTGCCCCAGGTAACGTATTATGCAGATACTCCGACCACCTTCATTTCTTAAAGCAGAGCATGGGTGCCCACCAATCAGTGATCATATAGCTGAAGATTTTTTTATTTTGTGGAGAGGTGGCTGCCAAGGGAGCGGAAATGGTCCACATTTTCTAATGTTACACCATTCAGCTGTATTTCTGCCATTGGAGAGGGTTTGTGAAAAAGAACTTGGAGTCCTCGTGGACAACACGTTAAACATGAGCCAACAATGTGATGCGGCAGCAAAAAAAGCCAATGGGATTTTGGCCTGCATCAATAGGAGCATAGTGTCTAGTTCTAGGGAAGTAATGCTACCCCTCTATTCTGCTTTGATTAGACCACACCTGGAATATTGTGTCCAATTCTGGGCACCACAATTCAAGAGAGATATTGACAAGCTGTAATGTGTCTAGAGGAGGGTGACTAAAATGATCAAGGGTCTGGAGAACAAGCCCTATGAGGAGCAGCTCAAAGAGCTGGGCATATTGAGCTTGCAGAAGAGAAGGCAGAGATGAGACATGATGAGGGCTATGTATAAATGTGTGAGAGGAAGCCACAGGGAGTAGGGAGCAAGCTTGTTTTCTGCCGCCCTGGAGACTAGAACGCAATGGAACAATGGCTTCAAAGTACAAGAGAGGAGATTCCATCTGAACATGAGGAAGAACTTCCTGACTGTGAGAGCCGTTCAGCAGTCACAGCTGACCTCCACTTCGAGCGCTCAAGGGCCAGGGATTCCCAGTTCTTGGTGACTATGCCACAGTTTTAAGATTAACTTTAAGCCCATCTTTAAATCAATTTTCTTGCCCACCAACATTCCGTTTTCCATTCTTGAGAGTATAGCATCTGTTTTGGGAGATGGTGATCAGGCATTCAGACAATGTGGCCAGTCCAGTGGAGTTGATGGTGTCGGAGCATCGCTTCAGTGCTGGTGGTCTTTGCTTCTTCCAGCATGCTGACATTTGTCCACTTGTCTTCCCAAGAAATTTGCAGGATTTTTCGGAGGCAATGCTGATGGAATCATTCCAGGAGTTGAGTGTGACGTATGTAGACAGTCCACGCCTTGCAGGCATATAATAGGTTTGGGAGGACAGTAGCTTTATAAACAAGCACTTTGGTATCCCTACAGATGTCCCAATCCTAAAACACTCTCTGCTTCATTTGGAAAAATGCTGCACTCGCAGAGCTCAGGCGGTCTTGTATTTCAGTGTCAATGCTGAGTTTTGTGGAGAGGTGGCTGTATATCGATATGACTGTATACAAATATATATTAGCTTAAATGTCTTACTTCCAGCAATTACAACTTAGTAGAGACGTTTCAGCGTGAATCAGGTTATATAACAGATTTTTAGACTAGGATTGAATGATCTTTGAGGTCCTTTCTTGCTCCGTGATTCTTGTCGATCGAGGGAAGTCATGGTGCCTCTCTAGTCTGTTTAGAGCTCTTTGCCTGGAATGCTGTGTCTAATTCTGGGCACCACAGTTTAACAGAGATATTGACAAGCTGAAAGGTGTCCAGAAGAAAGTGACCGAAATTATTAAAGATCTGGAGACTATGAATATTTATATTATAATATATTGTATGCACATATAATATTGATCATGATATTGCAATACAACATAATACTAATAATACGATATAATAATATAATAATGATATATTGTGGCGGGATTGTGGCGCAGCTGGCTGAGTGTCAGCTGCATTAAGATCACTCTGACCAAAAGGTCATGAGTTCAAAGCCAGCCCGGGTTGGAGTGGGTTTCCAACCAATTGTGTGTAGCCTGTTGTTGACCTTTGCAACCTGAAAGACAGTTGCATCTGTCAAGTAGGAAAATAAGGTACCACTTTAAAGTGTGGGGAGGCTAAATTAACTGATTTATGAGGCCACAAAGAAGACTCCAGCAAAGCATTCCAGTGGGGAAGCATGTGGGGAATGCGGAAGTGCTTCATCAGCATCGCAGATGGACGATGAAAGTGACAGCACCCCTGGTGGCCAGAAAAGTTAAATAGCCTCTGTGTATGTCTGTATATGTTTGTATGTCAAAAATTGGCATTGAATGTTTGTCATATATGTGTACACTGTAATCCGCCCTGAGTCCCCTGCGGGGTGAGAAGGGCGGAATATAAAAGCTGTAAATAAATGAATAAAATAATAAATAAATTTTATATTACATGTAATATTACTAGTAATATTGCAGCGTAGTGATATAGTACAATATATATAATACTAATATTGTGCTATGCTAATAATATAATATATTGTATGTACATGCAATTTGTAATCTGCTCTGAGTCCTCTTTGGGGTGAGAAGGCGTTGTCCATAGACACCTCCAAGGACATGTGGCCAGCATGACTGCATGGAGCACCGTTACCTTCCCGCCAGAGCGGTACCTATTGATCTACCCACATTTGCATGTTTTCGAACTGCTAGGTTGGCAGAAGCTGGGGCTAACAGCAGGAGATCACCTTGCTCCCCGGATTCAAACCTGCAACCTTTCGATCAGCAAGTTCAGTTCAGCAGTTTAACCCACTATGCCATGGGGGGCTCCTATAGATGTGTTTACCAGTTAAGAAAATAATGATGGAATTGGTTACTCCTTTCCTGCCACTTTAATATCTGGATTATTGTTCATATGTAAGCATTACAGCAATTTCTTATTCTGAAGGGAGCATTGGTTTACCCTAACAGATGACCCTCATATAATAGCTTGCAATTACATTCTTCCTTAAAACAAACAGGATCTGTGTTTATTTACATATCAAACAACAGATCTGGCATGACTCTGCTACTCTATGGGGATTGCCTGCTATCACTGTTACAGCTCACTTTAAGCCTTTGCTTTTCTCTTCTTCTTTTTTTCCAGCAACCAACCTTGTCCGACATGACGATGTATGAAATGAACTTTTCTCTCCTGGTTGAGGACATGTTAAAGAATATCGATCAGCCCGAATACAGGCAAATCATTGTAGAGGTGTGTATTGCATGAATAATGCATCAAGCAAATACTTCCTCTTACCTTTAAGAGCAAAATAGGCATGTGTGTGCCGGAGAATACGGTGATAGCTGAAAGAAAAGCCCATTGGACTAACCCAGACTGTCCGGAAAATATCTAACAGCTCTTCAGTTAGGCTGGATCTACTTCCTTAGGTGATCCCTCGTAGTTCGAGGATGATGGTCCTCCAAGTGTAGTGTCTTGGTGGTGGGTCCATCGGTGACTGTGGAGACCTATTCTTGATCCGCATCTTCTCCACAGTGAGGACATTGGTTTCCATACGGTTGAGGTTGGCTTGATGCACCCTCCTCTTGGCACGTTTCTCCCTTTCACCCTCCAGTCGTACCTCTTCAAATTCTACAGCACTGCTGGTCACAGCTGACCTCCAGTTAGAGCGCTCAAGAGCCAGGGCTCCCCAATTCTCGGTGTTTTTGCCACAGATTTTAAAGTTAGCTTTAAGCCCATCTTTAAATCTCTTTTCCTGTCCACCAACGTTACGTTTCTCATTCTTAAGTTGGGAGTATTGTAACTATGTTGGGAGATGATGATTGGGCACTCAGACAACGTGGCCAGTCCAGTGGAGTTGATAGCATAGTAGCATCGCTTCAGTGCTGATGGTCTTTTATAGTCCAGAGGTTGAACTTCACCTCCCATAGGTCCTGGTCAACATAATGGCTTTTGAACATCTGGAGGACTGCACATTTATGACTATTATGAATATGATAGCTAGGTCATCAGGGACTTCTCAGGACATTCTTGTGGCCAGTCCAGCAGAGTTGATGGCGTAGGAACATCGCTTCAATGCTGGTGGTCTTTGCGTCTTCCAGCATGCTGACATTTCACAGGCATATAGCAGGGTTGGGAGGACAATGGCTTTATAAACAAGCACCTTGGTATTCCTACGGATGTCCCAGTCCTCAAGCACTCTCTGCTTCATTCGGAAAAATGCTGCACTCGCAGAGCTCAGGCGGTGTGGTATTTCAGTCTCAAAGTTGACTTTTGTGGAGAGATAGCTGCCAAAGGAGCAGAAATGGTCAACATTTCCTAATGTTTCACCATTAAGCTGTATTTCTGGCATTGGAGAGGGATTGACTGGTGACTGCTGGAAGAGCACTTTGGTTTTCTCGATGTTCAATGACAGGCTTCTTGTGCTTCTGCGAAGGTGTTTAGAGTGGCTTTTAGGTCTTCTGAATGCACATAGATGTCCCAGTCCTCAAACACTTTCTGCTTCTTTAAGAAAAATGCTGCACTTGCATTGCTCAGGCGCTGTTGTATTTCAGCCTCGAAGTTGACTTTTGTGGCGAAGTAGCTGCCAAGGTAGCAGAAATGGTCAACATTTTCTAGTGTTACACCATTAATCTGTATTTCTGGCTGGGTCTACACTCTCTGCTTCTTTAAGAAAAATGTTGCACTTGCAGAGCTCAGGCGGTGTTGTATTCCAGTCTCAAAGTTGACTTTTGTGGAGAGGTGGCTGCCAAGGTGGCAAAAATGGTCAACATTTTCTAATGTTACACCATTAATCTGTATTTCTGACTGGATCTACACTCTGCTTCTTTAAGAAAAATGCTACACTTGCAGAGCTCAGGCGGTGTAGTATTTCAGCCTCAAAGTTGACTTTTGTGGCAAGGTTGCAGCCAAGGTAGCAGAAATGGTCAACTTTTTCTAATGCTACACCATCAAGCTGTATCTCTGGCATTGGAGAGGGATTGGCTGGTGACTGCTGGAAGAGCACTTTGGTTTTCTCGATGTTCAATGACAGGCCGAGCTTCTTGTAGGCTTCTGTGAAGGTGTTTAGAGTGGCTTGTGGGTCTTCTTCTGAATGCGCACAGATGTCCCAGTCCGCAAACACTCTCTGCTTCATTCAGAAAAATGCTGCACTCGCAGAGCTCAGGCAGTGTTGTATTTCAATCTCAAAGTTGACTTTTGTGGAGAGGTTGCTGGAGAGGTCAATATTTTCTAATGTTACACCATTAATTGGTATTTCTTGTTGGATCTACACTGCCATATAATACAGTTTCAGAATGCAGATTAACTGCATTGAACTGAGTTATATGGCAGTGTGGACTCATGCGGTGTGTGAATAGAACTAATATAATATTATTGTTTTGCATTTCATGTGTTTTATGTTCTTCTTCGTGGCCTCTGTCACTTGCATATCTATCTCTTACCCCTCAGATAGATATTTTAATGTTCGTTGCAATATATAGTCACAAATCATGAATATACAAACTTTTATCGACCAGAAATAGTGGCTCTTAAAATGTTTAGTGTCAGCCAGATCAAAACCTGTAAAAAAAAAAAAAACCTTTCATGTATATTTTCCCTTTGTGGCTTTATTGCATTCCTTTAAAGTGGATTTTAAATGGTTCTCAAAAAAATAAGACAACGTGTCTGAATGTTCTCGTTTTCTCTTATGATTTAGCTGTTGATGGTTGTCTCCCTCATTCTGGAAAGAAACCCTGAATTAGAGTTTCAGGATAAAGTGGATCTGGATAAGCTGGTGAAAGAAGCCTTTCGTGATTTCCAGAAGGACCAGAGCCAGCTCAAAGGCACTGAGAAACAAGTCAGTATATTTAGTGATTTCTTTTTTTGCTCCTATTTTCTTACTGAGCTCTAGTAATGCTCAACGTAAACATTGCTTTGATAAGGAGACCAATGTGGGAGCTACGTATTTTATTTATACGCTGCTTTTCTCTTGGATTCAGATTGGAGATGGCTTACTAAAAAGCCAAAGAGTGATAATAAAAAATTAAAACAGAAACATTTAAGCAAGTTCAACACAATTAAATTTTAAAACCAGTACAATTATGTAATAAAGTTTAAAAAGCAGCACATATATCCTATGAAAAGATGCCCTGCAACCAATTAATCGTGGCTGTTTAAATAAAAAGGAAAGGAGAGAAAAGACCAGATTAGTAGTTTAAAGCCATACACAGTCCAGAAAACTCACAGCAACCCAATGCGGTAATTACTTGATGACATCACTGAAAATATTTATTTATTTACGACATTTATATGCCGTCCTTCTCACCCCGAAGGGGCCTCAGAGTGGCTTACAAGATATATATACATACAATATATTGTACTATACTATTATATTGTAATATTATTAGTACTTACTTAGGCGATCCCTCATTTTCCGAGGAGGATTGTCTTCCAATATTCTTGTGGGTCCATATGTGGCTGTGGAGCCCTATTCTTGCTCTGCATCTTCTTCCGCAGTGAGGGCATTGGTTTCCAGGTGGAAGGTGGTCTCGTCGGGGTTGGCTTGACGCGCCTTCCTCTTGGCACACTTCTCCCTTTCACCTTCCATTCGTGCCTCTTCAAATTCTTCAGCACTGCTGGTCACAGCTGACCTCCAGCTGGAGTGGTCAAGGGCCAGGGCTTCCCAGTTCTCAGTGTCTATGCTAGAGTTGTTAAGGTTGGCTCTGAGCCCGTCTTTCAATCTCTTTTCCTGTCCACCAATATTATTAGTAATATTACATGTATTATAAATATATAATTATAATATTTTATTATTAGTAGTAGTATTACATTATAATATTATAAATATATTTATTTATTTACATTATTTCTATCCCACCCATTTCAGCCCGAAGGCGACTCAGGGCGGTATACGCAGTCGGCACAATTCGATGCCGAAACAAAATACATACATTGATAAAGCAAAAACATCAAGTGCAATTAAACATAAACGACAGTGCATAATAAACAATTTAAAAAGAGACTATGTCCTCTCGTTCAAATCTTCATCCATTACATTGTCTTGGCCGTTCCTGGGTCAATTACGAACTCTAGTTTGTCTGTTTACTCCGGGGTTCCAAATGCTTGCTCAAAGAGCCAAGTTTTTACTCTTTTTCAGAAAGTCAGGAGGGAGGGGGCTGATCTGATATCCCTAGGGAGGGGGGTTCCACAGCCGGGGGTCCACCACAGAAAAGGCCCTGTCTCTCGTCCCTGCCAGACGTGCTTGCGAAGCAGGCGGGATTGAGAGCAGGGCCTCCCCAGACGATCTTAAGTTCCTGGGGAGTTCGTAGGGAGAGATGCGTTCAGATAGACAGACTGGGCCAGAACCGTTTAGGGACCGTTTATTGTATAATATATACAATATATTATATGATATTATATTATAATATTATATTATAATATTATATTATTATAATATACATCACTAATTTTGTGCTACAGTGATGCGCCCCCACAAACTCCTAACAGTTGCCCACCTTTGTTATATTAGACTGGTAATCAGACATTGTGGATCTGCTCTGACCTTCCCAACCTTCCTCTGCTGCACAGCTCTCCTCCATTCCTACAATAACTACCATTTAATTTAATTTATTTATTTCCAGTATTTTTATGCTTCCCTTCTCACCCCGAAGGGGACTCAGGGCGCATCACAGAACATACATACGTGGCAAACATTCAATCCTGTTTATATACCGACAAGACAGACAATTTTACATAGGTTTTTCCATCTTCATATATAGGTTTTTCCATCTTCAGGATCTTGGAGGCTTGTGCTCAGTTCCAGCCACAGGAGGAGGGGGGTGCTGTCGCTTCATCTCCCAGCTGAAGAGCTTTGTTTGTAAACATCTTCCTTGATCAAGTTGCAGGCATTTTCCTGGCATTTCCTTATGGGTGCCTTAGTACCACCCCGCTTTTAAGCGGTACCTATTTATCTACTCGCATTTTGCTAGGTAGGCAGAAGCTGGGTTAAAGGCGGAGAGCAACTAAAATGACCAAGGGCGTGGAGAACAAGCCCCATGAGGAGCGGCTTAAAGAGCTGGGCATGTTTAGCCTGAAGAAGAGAAGGCTGAGAGGAGACATGATAGCCATGTATAAGTATGTGAGAGGAAGTCATAAGGAAGAGGGAGCAAGCTTGTTTTCTGCTGCCCTGGAGACTAGGACACAATGGAACAATGGCTTCAAACTACAAGAAAGGAAATTCCATCTGAACATGAGGAAGAACTTCCTGACTGTGAGAGCTGTTCAGCAGTGGAATTTCCTGCCCTGGAGTGTGGTGGAGGCTCCTTCTTTGGAGGCTTTTAAACAGAGTCTGGATGGCCATCTGTCGGGGGTGCTTTGGATGCAGTTTTCCTGGCAGGGGGTTGAACTGGATGGCCCATGAGGTCTCTTCCAACTCTGATTCTATGATAAAGGCCAGGAGATCACCCTGACCCGGGCTTCGAACTGTCAATCTTTTGATTGATAAGATTTACGGCAGGTGGTGGTTTAACCTGCTGTGCTAAAGCCCGGCCCTTCCCTTGAAATATGGCTGTTCCATCAAGGGCGGCAGAACAATATCTATAGCAAACAAACTTCCACTGATCTGAGACAACTGCGGCTTATGAAGGGTTCATAAGCTCAATGCATTCAGCAGCAATGAAGCTGTGACTCATTGAAAGACTACAGAATGATTTGCTGCTGCATTGACTTAGCACAAAGGTGGTGTTTAAAGCCCAGTAAAAGTGTCTGACTCATCTTGCTTTGGTCAGTTTTTTTTAATGAACGTAGATGTTACACTCCAGGACAGGAAAAGCCCTCTGACTGTAAACACCACACCATTTGGTTGGAAAACAATCCTTTTATTGAAGATAATTAAAAAGCAGCAAGTAAAAAGCACTTTAAAGAAATGGGTAAATCCAATTAGACAAGAAGATAAGCAGGATCAAAAATAGTCCAGGGTAAAGTTCAGCAAAGTCCATAAAAACAAAGTCCACAGTTCTCTAATATAGTCCAGAAAACCAGGAAACATTAATCCAAGGCATGAGGAGGCATTCATACAATCCAAGAATCCAAATCATGAAACAAGAAATACTTAGACAAGGCTTCCATGAAACAAGGATGAGAACTACACTTGATTCCAAACGATGCTTCATCTGACTATATTTCCCATACTTGGAACTTTTATCCCCTCGTTAAACTATTCCAAGCACTCAGAAATTGGATTCACTTTAATTGAGATTCCCTTATCTTTTTCTGTCAGATCCTGGCAGACCACCAAAGCCACTGTTCAGTCTGCCTGTTTTGACTATCTCCTGCTGCCTATCTGTTTGCTTATTAAGTTTTTGCAGCTGGGCCCACTTGTTTTCAAGCCCCAAATCCTGGGAACTCTCTGGTAGCAATTCAGGGAGTACACTACCATCCCCATACCCTTCAGGGACATTCTCATGGGAAACTACACTTTGCACAGCGGTCTCCTGGTCCTTTTCTGCATCACTCTGTTGTGGTTCAGCCTGAGCTTTCTGAAACCGAGTTTCCTCAGGACGAGGAGGAGGATGGGTTACAGATTTCTGAACATGTTCCAGTTAGTGAGGCAGTTGAAGCAGACAGTGTTGATTCTGAAGAAGAGATGGCATTTCTGTTCCCCAGAGAAAAGAATGTGGCTTTAGATAAATATAGTGAAACTTCGGAGCTCCAGGTGGAGGCTCTTTCTGGGAGCTCCGGGCCTCTTGTTTCCCAGGGTGACCAGGCCCGGCAGGGCGAAGATAATGAGCTAACTGGTCTTGAAGATAGTGGAGATTTGATTAGAGAAGACCGTTTGCAATTAAGAGTTCAGAGAAGCGCACGCCTTGCCAACAAGCGTGAAGCTAGAGGTCAACATAATGCTTTCATGTTGGGGAAACGTATTTAATGATCTGGATGAAGGGCATTCCCTTTCAGTCCAATGTTGCTTTTACCCTTTTAACTTCTGTGGAATTACCTTGGCTTTTGCGGAAAGCTTCTGGCTTTTTGGGACTTTGATTTTGTTCCGATTTTTGGAGACTGTCTTGCTGCCGTGGACTCTTGCTTAACCAATGCTAAAAGGCTATGCTTCATGTTATTTGCCTTTGGAACCTGGGAACTTTGCCTTTGCATTGCTCAATGAACTTTACTTCTTTATTTCCCTGGTTTGATTTTGCTTTTTTCTCAATAAACTACAAAACCTACAGCCTTGGTGTGTGGTGATGTCTTGGGCAAGGTGAATCTAACCTGAGTTGCGACAGTATCATTGACCAAACCATTGCCATCTTGAAATTCAACGGCATCACTTCCCACATCCAAAGCACCCTGATCACAGGCTGAACTCCAAGAGCAGATAATAGTAGTAGTAGTAGTAGTAGTAATAATAATAATAACACTTTATTTGTACCCCGCTACCATAACACTATGATGTAGTAATACATATACATGTTGTTGTTGTTCATTCGTTCAGTCGTCTCCGACTCTTCGTGACCTCACGGACCAGCCCACGCCAGAGCTCCCTGTCGGCCGTCACCACCCCCAGCTCCTTCAAGGTCATTCCAGTCACTTCAAGGATGCCATCCATCCATCTTGCCCTTGGTCGGCCCCTCTTCCTTTTGCCTTCCACTTTCCCCAGCATAATTGTCTTCTCTAGGCTTTGCTGTCTCCTCATGATGTGGCCAAAGTACTTCAACTTTGTCTCTAGTATCCTTCCCTCCAGTGAGCAGTTGGGCTTTATTTCCTGGAGGATGGACTGGTTGGATCTTCTCGCAGTCCAAGGCACTCTCAGAACTTTCCTCCAGCACCACAGTTCAAAAGCATCTATCTTCCTTCGCTCAGCCTTCCTTATGGTCCAGCTCTCACATCTATAGGTTACAATGGGAAATACCACTGCTTTAACTATGCTGATATTTGTTGCCAGTGTGATGCCTCTACTCTTCACTATTTTATCGAGATTGGACATTGCTCTCCTCCCAAGAAGTAAGCGTCTCCTGATTTCCTGGCCACAGTCTGCATCTGCAGTAATCTTTGCACCTAGAAATACAAAGTCTGTCACGGCCTCCACGTTTTCTCCCTCTATTTTCCAGTTGTCAATCATTTTTGTTGCCATGATCTTGGTTTTGCAACAATACAAACAGTAATAACAACAATACAAGCAATTAAAAATAAAACATGGACAATACAATAATGCAACATTAACAATAAGACCACACGATTAAAAACTATGGGAAGGCCAAATGTAAAATTAAAATTGAAAGTAATGCTGGAACATGGGCAAAAAAGTGATAGTGGCGTTTATGGAAAACATACAAGCAGACCTAAAATTGTAAAGTGCTTTGGAGGACAAAGTGCTATGGGATCATTATTCTGAGAAGACACACTGGAACAGCCACGTCTTCAAGCTCCTCCTAAAGACTGCCACAGTTGGGGCCTGCCTGATGTCCTTAGGAAGTGAGTTCCAGAGTCGGGGGGGCACCACCGAAAAGGCCCTCTCTCTCGTCCCCACCAATCGCGCCTGCGATGCAGGTGGGATCGCGAGCAGGGCCTCTCCAGATGAACGGAGAGATCGCGTGCGTTCATATACAGAGATCATAGAACCATAGAATCATAGAATCAAAGAGTTGGAAGAGACCTCATGGGCCATCCAGTCCAACCCCATTCTGCCAAGAAGCAGGAATATTGCATTCATATCACCCCTGACAGATGGCCATCCAGCCTCTGTTTAAAAGCTTCCAAAGAAGGAGCCTCCACCACACTCCGGGGCAGAGAGTTCCACTGCTGAACGGCTCTCACAGTCAGGAAGTTCTTCCTCATGTTCAGATGGAATCTCCTCTCTTGTAGTTTGAAGCCATTGTTCGCGTCCTAGTCGCCAAGGAAGCAGAAAACAAGCTTGCTCCCTCCTCCCTGTGGCTTCCTCTCACATATTTATACATGGCTATCATATCTCCTCTCAGCCTTCTCTTCTTCAGGCTAAACATGCCTAGCTCCTTAAGCCGCTCCTCATAGGGCTTGTTCTCCAGACCCTTGATCATTTTAGTTGCCCTCCTCTGGACACATTCCAGCTTGTCAATATCTCTCTTCAATTGTGGTGCCCAGAATTGGACACAATATTCCAGGTGTGGTCTAACCAAGGCAGAATAGAGGGGTAGCATGACTTCCCTAGAACTAGACACTATACTCCTATTGATGCAGGCCAAAATCCCATGCGGTCACGCAGGTAGGCGGGTCCCAAACCGTTCAGTGCTTCGTAGGTAAGAACCTGCACCTTAACTAAATGTAGATCTTCCATGTATAGGTATAAGGTACAAGGGGTAATTTCTTCCCCCTTTGGCTTCCTCATCCTTACAATTTGGTGGGAATCCAAAATGTTTATCATGCGCAGCGACAGGGAACGCAAAGTGTGTGCAGCGCCCTCCTCTTCCCCGCACTATCTTCCATCTGTGATTCTCAATCTTTCGTTCAGCCTTATTGTAATCTATGAGCGTTGCGACTGAGATCCGAATTTTTGTTTTGTTTTGCGCAGGATGACATGACTTCCTTTTACAACACGGCTCCGCTGGGAAAAAGGGGAACCTGCAGCTATTTAACAAAAGTGGTGATGAATTTATTGCTGGAAGGTGAAGTCAAGCCCAACGCAGACGACCCTTGTTCGATCAGTTAAAGGAAGTCGAGCCAAATGGCTTCGGTTAAAGTAGTATTTGCTCAGTTTCGGAATCGCTTAGCTTGTTATTCAATGAGTTTGTTTGCTCGCTGTTTAATTTCTCATTGGAAATTTCAGGAGACTGTTTACTAGGGCTGGGCAACCACGGAAAAATTTGTTTCTAAACTCGATTCGTTTTTTGGGGTTTTTTGCGTTTCGATATTTAAAAGAATTCCGAAATTTTTCTTTAAAAAAGTTCGATATTTACGAAATTTCGTAAAATTGCGAAACAATACGAAACGAATACGAATCGATTCGTTAATGGTGGACGCGACCGCGCAATACGCTAAAAAACCTCCAAATGGGACAGGGGGAACTTCTGAAGCTTCCCTCTCCCTCTGTTGTTGACTGTTGGTGTGATATTTATAATTTTTTTCACTGATTAAACAAACAACAGCTATAAAACTTGCCCCAGACATGCGGAAATAATAACGAAACAATTTCGAAAAGATTTTGAAACAAATACGAAACGAATACGAAGCAATTGAAAAATTCGTTTCGTTTTTTAGATGCTCCTGAATGGTTCGTTATCGCTTCGTAACCAAAAAAAAAAAAACGAATTTTTAACAAATTACGAAACGAAACCGCCCAGCCCTACTGTTTACACTATGTTTGCAGTGCTCACATGCTTAGGATAGCAAGCCACACACCTGATTCTGTGGCAAATTTAGTCCAGGAATGTTCTCCCTCCATATCTCTCTAATATCTCCAACCTTCTGCACTTTCCCACCCAAGCCCTGTGGTCACACGTTGGCTGAGCAAATGCATGAAATGCAATATATATATATATCATTCATATGATTGAGACTCCAGATAGTTACGGAAAAATTAATAGGGTTTGTATTTATAATTTAATCATTGCCCGGGAATGATTGGAGTGATATATTTATATATGTAATTGTGAATTAAATGCGCATTGTAGCATCTATCAACTCTACGCCTTTCCTTTTGCATTGTGACTCATTATTGAAAGGCATCGTCATGAATACTGAATGGGACTCGGGCGTGAATGTAAAAAGAATTAATGAGCCCCGTGTTTGAAGTCGAGGTATTTGTTAACTTTGAGGAGATAACTGTCGCTTTGGGTTTGAGTGCTCCATTGAAGCTTAAGGGGAAAATAAAAAATGCTGCACTAAATCTACGCTGAAGAATGTGTCTATAATTGGTTTTTTGTTTATTAATATTAGTTCCTTAAGCATACTAATGTTTCCATGGTTAAAATTGGAGGGAAATTATTTGTATGACTGTGAACCAGATGCTAAAAAAGGTGTTTTTCTCCCTCCTCAGTTTCCTTCTTCTTATTTTCATATCTGTAATTTTGCTATGATTATGAATCATAATGTAAATATTTGATATGCAGGATGTATTTTCATTCACTGGACCAAATTTGGCACAAATGCCCAATAAGCCCAAATTTGAATACTGGTGAGGTTGGAAGGGATTGATTTTGTCATTTGGGAGTTATAGTTGCTGGGATTTATAGTTAACCTATGATCAAAGAGCATTCTGAGCTCCACCAGTGATGGAATTGAACCAAACTTGGCACACAGAACTCCCATGACCAACAGAAAATACTGGAAGACTTTGGTGGGCATTGAGTTTGAGTTTTGGAGTTGTAGTTCACCTAGGCATGAATACTCAATATGCCCAAATTTGAACACTGGTGGAGTTTGAGGAAAATTTGGGAGTTATAGTTGCTGGGATTTATAGTTCACCTACAGCCAAAAAGCATTCTGAACTCCAGCAGTGGTGGAATTGAACTAAACTTGGCACACAGAACTCACTTGGCACACAGAACCCACGACCAACAGTAAATACTGGAAGGGATTGGTCAGCATTGACCTTGAGTTTGGGAGTTGTAGTTTGCCTACATCCAGAGAGCACTGTGGACTCAAACAATTATGGATCAGAACCAAATTTGGCATGAATACTCAATATGCCTAAATTTAAACACTGGAGGCATTTGAAGAAAATTTGGGAGTTGTAGTTACTGGGATTTGTAGTTTACCTACAATCAAAAAGCATTTGGAACCCCACCAATGATAGAATTGAGCCAAAATTTCCACACAGAACTCCCATGAGGTGTTAGCTAGCCCTGATTGACTGATGCCTGGAATTCCTCTGCTTTTTTAGTGTTTCTTTTTTTCCCCTGAACTGATTTTTAATACTGGTAGCCAGGATTTTGTTCATTTTCATGGTTTCCTCTATTTTGATGAAATTGTCCAACACCTCCCAACAAAGGATTCCCCCGGGCAGCAACCAGCCAGCCTTTTAAGCTGCAAGGCCATTAAATACTAATCACAGTGGCCATTTGCAACCAAACAAACAAGAGTTCTTTCTCCCACACTGTATATTCCACAGATACAGTGTTTCTCAACCTTCCTAATGCCACAACCCCTTAATATAGGTCCTCAGGTTGTGGTAACCTCCAACCATAAAATTATTTTGCTACTGTTATGAATCTTAATGTAAATATCTGATATGCAGGATGTATTTTCATTCACTGGACCAAATTTGGTGCAAATACTCAATATGCCCAATTGTGAATACTAGTGGCATTGAGTGGGATTGATTTTGTCATTTGGGAGTTGTAGTTGCTGGGATTTATAGTTAACCTATGATCAAATAGTATTCTGAACGCTGCCAAAGATGGAATTGAAGCAAACGTGGCACACAGAACTCCCATGACCAACAGAAAATACTGGAAAGGTTTGGTGGGCATTGACCTTGAGTTTGGGAGTTGTAGTTCACCTTCATCCAGAGATCGCTGCGAACTCAAACAATGATGGATCTGGACCAAATTTGCCACAAAAACGCAATATGCATAAATGTGAATACTGGTGGAGTTTGGGGAAAATAGACCTTGACATTTTGGGAGTTGTTGTTACTGGGATTTATAGTCCACCTACAATCAAAGAGCATTCTGAACCCCACAAATGATAGAATGGGACCAAACTTCCCACACAGAACCCCCATGCCTTGAAAGGACTTGCTGGCGCGAGCCTCCCTCGCCCACACATGTGCACCATGCTACCATGCGCCAGGCACGCTTGCTCTCCCCTGAACGCTCGGAGTCTCAGAAACAGCCCTCCTTTTCGTGGGAGAATTCGTGGTCTGTTTCCAAAAAGGACGAGAAGGACAAGTGGAGATATCTTCAGCGTTCTTTGCCAAAGGGGTTCCTAAGACCATCAGAAATATATGTATCTGATGGTCTTTGGTGATCCTTCTGAAACCCGTCCCCCAGATTGAGAAACGCTGCTCTAGACGTTGGCTCTTGTGCTTAGAAAATAGATCACATCCCGCAAGGTTGAAAACTTCCAGCCTTGATATATGTCGCCTTGATCTCCCTGGAGGAAGAGCCAAAGTCCAGAGTCACATATGATCAAAATGATAGGACTTAGTGCAGCTTTGAGTTGCTTAGAACTGTGGCTATGAGCACATATTTTATCCGATGACCACATAGCAAAGCAAAACCTTTTCACTGCTAAAGTTCTCTTAACTCTGCCGTGGGTTGAGGTTATTCCGTGAAAGAAAAGTTGGAGCGTCACAGGCTGTAAAGATTTATAACGAATGAAAGCATCCTGCTAGGCTTTTTTTCCTCTTCTTCTTGGCTTCCAAATATTTAAACAGCTGCAGGAGAGAAGAAGTGAAAATAAGAACATACTTAGCAGAGCATGGCAAACCTTAAATCTGATTTAAAGTTTACTTTTTTACAATGATAGATTTTGCCAAAGTGCAGCTCTTGTACACACCATTTGCTACTTGAATTTCACCGTAAAAATGCACCATTTGAAAGACATCCTCTAGCTTACCTGTGCCTTTTAGTATAGTATAGCAGTTGTGTAGAATTTTGTAGTATAGGGTCTAGTGCCATTTCCCTGACAAATTTAGAGTTTGGGGAAATTCACACAAAAGCTTTTTCTTAGAAGCACAGTCTCTTCTTGTGTGCTGTGAAATAATTAAACCGAATGTAATATTCCTTAACGTCTTAACCTGCTACTGGTGTTTTTGTTATACTAAAACCTGTTTCTGTCAGAAATATTAAAAAAATTAACTAGGTATTTTTAATTACAAAAATGTAAGTCAAACACTGAAAGGGTTAAATGGATGCAATAATAGTAACAAGAACAACAAGAACAACAACAACATTATTTATATTCCACCCTTCTCACCCTGAAGGGGACTCAGGGCAGATCACAGTACACATACACGGCAAACATTCAATGCTGCTTTGTATAGACAATACACAGACAGAACAGAAGGAGGTGCCATGGAAGGTTGGGCTCGAGTCCAGCGGGTGTTGTTGCTCTATCCTCTGACGAAGAGCCATCAGGACTTCTTCCTTTTGGTTGCCCAGCATTTTCTGATCTTTCTTTATGGTGTCGTAAAACATCTTGCCCGCTTTTAGTGGTACCTAATTTCTCTAATCACAGCTAAAGCTGTTTTCGAATAGCTTAGGTAAACAATAAGCTAGGCTGACAGTTGTCAGCTCATGTCAACCCAGGGCTTCGAACTTGCAACCTTTTGGTTGATAGATCTTATAATTGCTGATGATTTCCCAGCTGTGCTAAACCTCAGGTGTGTCTGTAGCTTAGTATGCCTCAGTGTTAGTTACTCTCAGGCTGAGAGAGGCCTCAGTGTGAGGGAAACCTCAGTGTTAGTAGGCCTCAGTGTGAGGTAGGCCTCAGTGTGTGAGAGGCCTGGTGTGAGAAGGCTTTGGTGAGAGAAGCCCCAGGTTGAAGGCTGCTGTGTGTAAAAGGCTACTGTGTGAAGCTCCTGACCAAGTTTAGTGTGAAGTACGTGTGAAAAAGATTTGGAGTCCTCATGGACAACAAGTTAAACATGAGCCAACAATGTGATGTGGCGGCAAAAAAAGCCAATGGGATTTTGGCCTGCATCAATAGGAGCATAGTGTCTAGATCTAGGGAAGTCATGCTACCCCTCTATTTCGCTTTGGTTAGACCACACCTGGAATATTGTGTCCAATTCTGGGCACCACAATTCAAGAGAGATATTGACAAGCTGGAATGTGTCCAGAGGAGGGCGACTAAAATGATCAAGGGTCTGGAGAACAAGCCCTATGAGGAGCGGCTTAAGGAGCTGGGCATGTTTAGCCTGAAGAAGAGAAGGCTGAGAGGAGATATGATAGCCATGTATAAATATGTGAGAGGAAGCCACAGGGAGGAGGGAGCAAGCTTGTTTTCTGCTTCCCCGGAGACTAGGACGCAAACTACAAGAAAGGAGATTCCATCTGAACACGAGGAAGAACTTCCTGACTTTGAGAACCATTCAGCAGTGGAACTCTCTGCCCCGGAGTGTGGTGGAGGCTCTTTCTTTGGAAGCTTTTAAACAGAGTCTGGATGGCCATCTGTCAGGGGTGATTTGAATGCAATATTCCTGCTTCTTGGCAGGGTTGGACTGGATGGCCCATGAGGTCTCTTCCAACTCTTTGATTCTATGATCTGCATGAGAAAGAAGCCCAGCATGGAAGCAAAGAAGGAAGTATAAATAATGTTATTTGTGTTATGGAAACCTTGTTCTTGTAAATAGTGCAACCAAAAGCCTCCTAAGGAAGATATAACATTGGCCTGTGCTTTTGGCTACTGGTGTTGGTTTGGCTACTTTTGGCTACTGGTGTTGGTTATGCTACTACTAATAAGTTACTCTGCAGTACATTTATGAGGAGAGTCTTTTGTTAATAAGCCCAGTTTCCTCCAGTCTTTGTCCTAGAAAGATGGTATCCTTTCTTTATTCTTGGGACTGTGTTTCCAAAAGGTCAGTTTTCATATACTCCAGCTGGCATGATCCAAGTTTGAAGACTATGGAAGTTGTCATCCAAAAAAACTGGGGGGCACCAGGTTGCTTCCTACACTTAAGTGGGCCTTGGCTTAGCTATATATGAATATGGGTTTTTCCTGTTTTTGCTGTGTATTTTAAGATTCCCTGACATGTTGACATGTTGACAATCATCGTCAGGACCCAGAAACCTTAATTACAGCCAAACACAAGATAAGAGTTCAAAACACAGCTTTATTATACAAAAATAGTCTTTCAAAGCACTTAACTTCAGTGCAAAGAGTCTCTGTAGTAATTTGGCATCAAAAACAAAGCGATACCAGTAACAAAAATATAACCCGGATT